AGTTCCCCCTCCACAGCTGCTCTTCCTGTATTTTCTATTTGTGTTCATTTACTTAGAACGCCTTCACTATGCATTTGTGCATATATTATCCAATCTTCCCAACAAACTCATGAGAGGGTTACTACTCATTTCCAGGTTTTCAGGGGGATAAAACTGAAATTTAGGAAGGTGACATAAATTTTCTGAAGTCCCACAACTGGTAAGACACAAAACCAGGGTTAGGCCCTGGTTCTATCCAACTCCAAAGCACACACAACATGAATGGCCTGAAAGAGGCTGGAAGCTGGGGAGCCTTATCATAGTCTTTGCACGCCCACTTCTTAGGACAACGTCTGACACAAGAAAGCCCGGCAGCAGGTGCTTGATCTTTGAACTACTAAATATTTGTTTAATGTTAGATATAAGCAAGGCAGTGCGCTAAGGATCACAGGCGAAAGAATAAAAGAACAAACATGGACCCTGCTCTCAAAGAGTTACTATCTTGTTTAAAGAAAACAATACAGGCAAGATTCAGAAAAGGGTGACCCTGTCACCACTATTCTTTAACATTATTCTGTAAATGCTAACCAAAGCAATAAGATGCAACAACAAAATGGGGGGGGGGGGGATATAGTGGAAAGGAGGAAAAATTCTCATTATTTGCAATGATATGATGTGTATAGCTGAAAACCCAACTTTAAACATTTTCTTAAAATGGAGAGCTCAGTAAAGTGGTCAGTTACAAAATTAATATATTGAGGTCAATAGTTTTTCTGGGAAATGACTTAAAATTTTTTAATCTTTTCATTGACCTGACATCCAAACTTGGTGTCTTGGATGTGCGCTAATGCCTTGTCTGAACCCCCCTCACTCCAGCCAGCACTGTACAATATCCTGTTTAACCTGCACATAGCAATTTACTTCCTTTCAGCGTGAGCTACCCTGTACTCTGAACCAAAAAAGAATCTGAATAAGATCATAGAATGATAGATCTGTTGCCAGTAGGATTAAGCTGGGCATCACTGAACCAAGATAAGGAATATAAGGGATACTCGTCAAGGCCATTTGGAACTTCTTGTTAATATTAAAAAAAACAAAAACAGAATTCAAACACTCTTATCTGAATGTTTAAACTTCAGGGACTAGAATAAAGCTCCACCTAAATAAAAGTAGAGAAACAGAAATTTTATGAGAGTTCTGAAATATTTGAGCACCAAGGACCGTTAAGACACTGGAATGGGAATCTCCACATGGGTTATGTGTTGTCTTCTCTGGTAATATGAGGGCATAATGTAGACTAACATCTTTCATTTTTTTCACATTTGTTACTGTCGATTTTCTAACATAATCTAAATGAAAATGAAACATTATTTTGAATACTCACAATCAGGGCTGAATTCTTCCAGGGAGGGCGTTGTGAGGGAAGGAAAATACAGAACTGAAATAAGAAACATTTATATTAAAAATTCTCTCTAAGGCCACATCTTATGTTTCTTATAGATCCTAGCCCAATGCTAGCACACAGTAAAAGCACAGTTTTCAAAAATGAGCAAGAATCTCATAAAAACAAACAATGGGTTAGATAATATTGTATTCCACTCATATGAGGTACTTAGACTAGGCAAATGCATAGAGACAGAAAGTAGAATAGAGCTGACCAAGACCTGGGGAGAGAGAGGAGTGGGAAGTTCATGTTTAATGGGGACAGAGTTTCTGTTTGACATGATGAAAAAGTTCTAGAGATGGATGTTCATGATGGCTGCACGACAATATGAAGGTACTTGATGCCATTGCATTGTACACTTAAAAATGGTTAAAATAGTAAATCTTATGTTATGTATATTTTATCACAGGAAAAATTTAAAACTAAAACACAAGTAGTGAGGACTTGACTAGATAGGAATAATGACCTGTAATCTCAAGAGGCTCTGCCCACCTCTTTACAGAAGTAGCTGGGACATGGGATCTAGCGTTTGGGAGGCCCAGCAAAGGAGCAGCAGTGCTGGTGTGGGGGGCTGCTGATCTGTAGGTAACAGAAGCCACCTCTTCCCCTTGAAGATGGTGCATTTTCTAGTATAGAGTTCTGCCTCACTTGGAGGAATCTTTCATACACTTGAAGACAGTAACCCAAAATACATTACGAGGGCTGGGGAGGCACCTCAAAAGAGCTGGACTTTGGTCTCAGATATCTTACTTGCAATCTGGGTAACTTGCCCCTCTCGAGTCTCAGTTTCCATTTCTGCAAATTGAAGCAATGAGACCAAATGATACGTGTCCTCGACCAGCTCTACAACGTCATGGTGCTAAGCCATCCCTTAACTTCTTTGTTCTAAACGATTCCAGCAGAGGTACAATGAAGAAAAAGCCAGTGTCCCGTGTCATTAGCGATCACTGTTCTTTTCTGGACCCTCCAGTGTCTTCCTATCCTTTTCAGAGTAAGAGTGATCCAAAGTAAACATACCAGTTTCATGAAGCCATGGTGAGTACAGAGTATGGAGCAGACACCACTTGGAATTTCTAATTATAGCACAAAATTGCTGTAGCTTTTTTTTTCTTTCTTTCTGTTTTGATTTTTTTTTTAAGCAATAGTGTTATACTGCTGAATCATTTTCAACTGTTGAGAAATTAGGGTTGGAAATCAAGTTATATAGTAACAGTAACTATATTCCTTTGCCTAATCAGTTGGGCGATAAAAAAGCAGCCTGGTTGTTCTTCAATAGGCAAGGATGAGACTATGAACAAGGAAACTCTTTATAAACACCTTCCACGGTTTAGAAGCAATAAGGAAGATTCAGCACTTATTTTCCTAACCTATAGTTCCTCTATTTAAATTAATTCATTCCACTCAGTTATTCAAAGCTGCTGTTAAAAAGAAAGTTCTTTTTAAAGATATTTAAAAACATGTTATATACAATTCATATGTCAAATGAATCAAATATGGCTATATTATACTGTGTGTATACAATGGTTAAGATGGGTTCAGTTTTAAAGGAGGTTTTCAGTCAAATGTCTGGGTTTTGCCTGAATGCTGAACAGTAAATAATCGTCTGATTGGCAATTCACTCTCCAATCTATTGATCCATTAATAAAATAGATATGCCAAAAAGCCTAAAAACACTTGTGAACTAATTTACCTTAGGGGGGAAAAAAAGTTAAGAAACCCAGTAATCAGTATCCCAAGGAGGGAAAAAAGACTGAAATTAGACCAAGTGAAAGTTAAGACCATATCTTCCCATAAAATGACATACCAACAATATTCCAATTAAATTGTCTTCATTAAATTTTTATTAAGATTTTTCTTTTTTAAATACATAGTGGGTTGGATTCCTAAATCACATTTCAAGGATGCATAGAGGGAACCCAATAATCCTTCAAATACATAAAACCATAAGAACAGATTTCATTCAAAGTACAATGGCAAAAATATACAGAGATGCATAAAATCTTTATTAAATGACCACATAGTAATCTGATACAAGACTCCCTGACACAAGAAAATAGATTGACTGGTTTGTAATATATTTTAAAATTCCCAAAGTAAAACAAAATTTGTAGATAAAATCTGTCTACACACATTGCCATTTACCCTACATGACTATTTTCCCTCTATCTGGATATCTTCCTTCCATGTACCCATTACCCAGTGCTGTTCCCTGAACTTTCTCAACCATGTTCCTTCTCCTGACTGGTGACTTATTGCTTATAAAGTCTCTTCAAAACAGCAGCAGCACCAAGCTCTAATCTTAGCTGGCTCTCCCAGGAAAGGGCAATAAGGTAAATACACAGTAAGATGGTTCCAAGAGATAACAGGCCTTTGATGATCTGATTACGTATATTATGCAGGTACTTCCCTGTCCTAAAAGTGAGCCATGCCTGATTCCCACTGAATTTTGTGCCCACAGTCAGAGAGAGAGAAAGAGAGAGAGAGAGAGAGAGAGAGAGAGAGAGAGAGAAAGGATGTACAGATTCTTTTTAGCCTAGGAACACACATCCTAAGACATCTAAAAATCCCACTAGGTGTCAGGGGAATAACTGAAAGGGGGTGGTGGTCAAAAGCATTAAAAATCAGTTACTACTAACTTTAGAATTGCATGTAGGGTGACCCAGAACCAATGGTGGTACTCAAGCACCATGTGAGAGTACCAAATACCTGTTAAAATAAATTGTAAACAAAAACCAAGCACAGATTGGACATGAACGAATTCTTTCTACTTAAGACAATGGCCTCCAACTTGGAGACCACCCACCCCTGCCAGCTTCCCATGATGACAAGCGGTCCTCAAATACAAAGCCAGCGTGGCCAATAGGAATAAATAAACCACATGCTTCTCAAATACAGGGATGGCTAGTCCTCAAATGCAAATAGTTGATGATATGATTAATAAAATCCAAATACATTCAAAGAAGGTATTGAATTCATAATTGGGTTATCATTAAGTATTTTTTCAGTTACTACACAATAAGTATACAACTACTCATATGAGTTCAACCTTGAAAATTTTGGCGTTATAAAAAGTGTCTTTATGACAACAAAAGGGTTGGGAATCACCAGTCTAGGGTTCTATAATCAACTCTCCAGACAAGGTTTGAGTGCCTCAGTGTGTACACATGTAAGCTGACCTCCTTACCTCCGAGTGTCATGGTGCTAAATAACAAAAATCCATGCATGGTATGAATATTTACTAACGTACATAAAAATAATGGATTTTCATTTGGAGTAATAAATTTGAAGTAACAAAGAGAAAATAAACACATATACTAAAATCCATACACAAATATCATCATTTAATTTATAGGGTCTCCTCCATAGACCTACTAACCTACGCAGGGTATACTGAAACATTCCCTGGGCGTGAACTGCCTTCAATCACTGTCAGCTAAAGGAGCCCACAGGGCTGCTCTGCACTGGCTTTCCCCCTTCCACTGTGTAAAGAGCTCAAATTCACTAGCCAAGAGGTCCATCTTTAAAAACAATTGTAACAGATGAAGAAGGAAGAACACATGTGAACCCATCAGCAAAGCTAAGGCAGGTTGATTGCCTGGTCCTCCTTGAATTTAGGGATCTTCTTAAACTCATTTTGTTTCTTGAAGAAAAGCTGGGCCAGGATGTGGTCTGCTGTGGCCTGGAAATAATCGTCCATGTCAAGGGTTTGCAGCTGACAAAGGAAAAATAAAAAAGATACATCAGCACCGAACTACTCAGGTTCCTGAAAGATCTTACTGAGGCTCTTACAAGCAGCGCGGTACCTGGCTGTGTAGCTTTACACAGCTGTGAACTCCTGTGCATGGTCTCCTCGTGTGCCTGGCCTTCCCTTGCCCTGGGGAGCTCACCTTCTCAGCTCTGAGAATCAGGGAAGTGTGACTAATGGCTAGATGTGCTGGGGCGTCGGAAGCTTTCTTTAGAGGGGACCTCCATCCTGCTGAGAGACCGTTTTCTTTGATGAGGGAACAGGACTCTGTCTTCCTGTGAGCAGGGACTAATGACAAAACAGCATCTCAGAGCATCACGCCCAGAGGCACATGATGAACACAAACGTCCCGGACAAGTAGGTGATCCTCGTGCTCCACAGCCAGAGACCTGCCTCTCTCTACCGGGTCGATAATCTCTGCCTGTCTGGCCGCACTATCCCGTCAGGTAGGTGTGGCTGAATGTCTCTGTCCCTCTCCCTCTCTCTTTCTCTCCCTCGGACACTATCTCTCTTTATCAGTTGGCCTCTCAATTTCTGCATGTGTGTGTCTCTGTATCCGTGTGTGTGTGTGTGTGTCTGTATCCATGTGTGTGTGTGTGTGTGTGTGTGTGATTTGCCTTTGAATCTGTCTCTTTATGTGTATGTGTCTATCTCTATGTCTGACTGTCTCTGTGCGTGTATATGGCTGTGTCTGTCTTTCTGTGTCCCTCTGTGTGGGTACGTAGGTGTCTGTGTGTCTCTATGGGTGTTCTTCCCTCTGTGTGTATGTCTGTGTGTCTCTGTGCTGTTTGTCTCTCTCTGTATTTGTCTCTTTGTAACTGTCTCTTCTCCCCTCTGTGTGTCTATTTCTCCACGTGCCGTTATTTCCGTGTGTGTCTCTAAGCATGTCTTTTCCTCTCTGGGTCTGTCTCTTGTTCTGTGTTTCTCTTTGGGCAGGTGCTTCCAGCTTCCTCTCTCTGTCTATCTCTCCCTCCTTCTTCCCTTCATATTCCTTGTGCAAAACGTATCCCCATTAGAAACACTTCCATCACCCACTCTGATGGAGTAGGGGGCACTATCCCCCCTCAGGGGGATATCAGACATTCCTGAGGGTAGGGTGCTGGTAAAAAAAATTCCTCCTGCCTAAAATTCTGATTCATTTCTTTCTTCCCCGTGGTGGACCACTCCCTTAAATTGTTCCTTTCCATTTAAAAAAAAATTATATTTCTATTCCTTTTTTAAAAGATTTATATTCTTTATTTTTTGGCTTGTATTTCATAGTTTTCAACTGTTATTTTTATCCTTCTTTCATACTTTATGTTTTAATTTCTTGGCATTAGCCTTTCATGTCACATTAACTCATTTAGTTTATCCCCCATACTAATTTCATTCTTAAGTTTTTACCTTTGGAACACTTTTACACTTACATAAAATTTACATTGTGCTCATTTTTAAAATTCTCTTTTCTTACTCTTAACTTTTCAAACTCTAAGTTGCTATTTATAACTTGAGGTTTTTTTCTTCTTTTCCTATTATATTTTACTCGATTTGATTTTGCACTACCGTGTACTCTTACAATGTCTATAGAGAATAGTGACCAAAGAGGTAGCAGCATCAGTGCGACCCACACCCAAAGTAGAGAGCCCTGGACTTCCCACCCCCAACAAAGTCTATAGCTAGCTTTCAATTCCATCTCCTCCTCTCATCACTCTCTGCCAACCTCAGCCCAGGTACCCTCAGGAAGGTTTGGAGACCTAGGGAAGTAGATGCTGAAATTTTCCAGCCTCCCTCAAAGGAGGTATGTGTCATTATGGGCAATGAACACAAGCAAACCCCCTCCAGGGGCAGGTCCTGCTGATGGGACTGCCGAATCCATGCTGCACTTTCCCCTGGAGATCTTGTTGGGTCTCGAAGGAAGAACCACGGCCAAGAGAAAAGTCTGTCGGTTCCTGGACTTGCGCCAGAGGGGCCCAGTCAGACTGCTCTAATTCTCACTGTTATAAATCTCAGAAGGGAATCATGTCCTAAGAATTTTTTTAAATCTAAATTCCACCTCATACACATTATTCCCTGTAATTCTATAACCCTGGGTGAATTTCTAAAAGCAACTAATTTTTTAATACCATAAATAATTCCTCTTAGTTTATATATTTAGATATTATTAATTTTATAGTACAGATCGTCATATCAGATTTGCTTAAAATAAAGAATGATAGGAAGAAATGATACTGTCACACAGTAACATTGTTCAAGCGCACTCAGTGTTTCTTCACTACTCCTAAAGTTTCTTTTCATATACAAGAGTCTCTATTTCTCCCCCTCTCTCTTTGTGCCAAATAAATGCTGGAAGAATGAACTGGGCATGCTCAGTTCAGCTCTCCTTCTCTCTTGGGAATTGGCAAAGCCTCAAAGAGCATGTCCTGCTCCTTTAAGCCATAAAATATACAGGGCCTGCCTCAACATGGGGAGGCCAATCCAATTCTGGGATTGCTATTAGGAAACCCACCTGCTCGCAGGTATTAGTCACATTCTCTAATGTCTACTTTATTAGTAACAAAAATGATTTCATGGATTTCTATATACTATTTTTTGGTCTTTTTTCTCAATTGGTTCAGAACTTGGGGGATTCAAAGGAAATGTGATACACCAGATTCCTTTATAACCACATGAAAGATTATTTGATTCTCCTCCTCTTCACACATTGGTTCTGCCAGTCCCTTCCTTTATTCATTCATTCAACACACATTTACTGACAGCCCCCTATGGTCCATATACATTGCTTAGCAGACTATTCTGCACATCACTGGCACTCAGCAATCTCTTTTAAGTGAGCTTATTCTCACCTGGTCTCCAGTGCTGAAGGCAAGAATTAAAAGCAAATCCTCATCACATGCACTCTTTATGTAATGCTGGGTTCCAATGGGGAAAAATATCACATCTCCAACATGAATGTTAAACTCTATGGTACCCTGAGTATTAATAATGCCCACCTAAGGAAGAAAAAATTATCTTGAAGTTAAGCAAATAAAATCAAATATTCATTAAGGATAAGTACTAACAGTGAAGAACCAATGAATTAGAGCACATGGTTATAAAGGGACTTCTTAGTGAGGGTAAATAGCAGAAGATAGAGGCCATCCTTTACATAAAATCTCCTGTTTCTGAGACATAAACACATAGTCCCACAAAAATCAAAAGATACTCTGTTTAAGTAATGTTCCCTAAGATGCCATTGGCGAGTTCAATACTGCACAACATTATGCAAAAAGAGCCTCAATCGCCATGTTCTAATTAAGGGTTATAAATTACCCATAGGTAATTACCTAATGAGGCAAAGGATTTAAATTTCGGTGTTTTACTCCTCCCATGCCCTCCTTTCTACTTGTTTGGGAAAATTCCGCCTTCTACGAGAACAGCATCCTAACAGTCTTCCTTAAAAGGGTTAGAGACTAAATACACATATGTGAGCACATAAGCACACCAAAAATAAAATCTGATCTTTGAAATACAATTTGTGAAGAATTACAATGCCCCTTCCCAATTTACTAAAGCCTTCACCTCAAAAAACATAAAGCTTTTGCTAGGGATGACGTAATGGATGAGTTTCCGTCTGGTTTGCTTCTTTCTGTTTGAGTTCTGTCTGATGGAGACAGGTCCGGGCTAGAGAAGCCTATTTTACCTGTGCATACCATTATAGATTTCCCCAGGGAGCCCTAGGAAAGTCCAGAACCACTGTCAAATCGCTACGGTAACATGCTGCTCAGTTTTGCTTTTACTATGGTAACCCTATAATTAATCATCCAAACCAGGACTCTCTAAAGAGTCAGAGGGTGTACTGTTAATAATTTCACCAAAATGGCAAGTACACATCAGGAGGATCCTGGGTAAACGGAGACAAATGGCCACTCTACTGATGCTTTACACTTCCCCACCCACCCCAGCTCACAGTGCACTGAGAGGCAAACAGTGGTTTCACATACTCCAAAGGGCAGCACATTAAACCCTTGCATTACCTGAGAATGCAAGACTCTGAAAACATAAGCAGGTGTTCCAGACCCTTCACCATAAGTGATAGCTCTTTACCACTTTTGAAGTTCTTAGCCTCTTTTCATGCTGAGATCAAACTTGGAAGCTATCTAGCGAGTCTGCCTGCTCTCCTCTGGAAACTGTGTCCAGAAATCCATTGGCATTGAGTCCTTTTCAACTGTACCCAGTAAAGAAATACTTCCCATTTGCTTCTTTCTGCATTAAAAAGGAAAGCTCAAAAAACTGCTCACAGAAAAATTACCTTTGCACATCCACTTATTACATATCCCATTTCATTTGCATTAAAATGGAAATGTGGCTGTCGTAATCCATTGTTGTAAACTCTGAGTGTACTCAAAGCCAGGGTATTTTGATGCTTGAAAAAGAAAAATGAAATCGTTATTTAGCCAACATCCTACTCAGCAACTTAACAATTCACTTAATCGTAACTAATATGCACGCAGCCCTCATTAAGACATGCAATTTTTTATGTCCTTTCCATTTATTTTGTTCATTTTTCCTTATCACAGTCTTAAAAGGTGGGTAGTATTATTCTTCCCATTTTACAGGTGATGAAATTAAAATCTAGGTTGGTTGAGTAATTTACCAAGGGTCGCCCAGTGGCAGAACTGGGATTTGAATCAGGGAATTGGACACTATAGCTGTGCTCATAGTCATTATACAACACAGCATTTAAAACAAATGAAAAGAGAAATCTCAAAAGCATCCAGTCTTTTCATTAATGTAACCATCCACGTCAAATAATTAAGTTCCCAAATCCCCAGTGAGGCCTCAATTAATAGTTTACATTGATCAAATCAACCAATATTTGACTAGATCTTTCCTTTTCTCTTGTCCAAAAAAAGGCTGAATCTGATCAAAATCTCATATTTCATACACCTTAATAGACATCAATACGTTTTTTTCTCAATTACCTGATTCAGGAATTCACTAAAAGTTTTTTCGTTGTTGCTTAGTTCACTTCCATTTTTCCAGTATTGTGCCAGTTGTATTATTCCTCCTGGAAATTTATATTCTTTTGAACCTGAGTCAGGTGAAGTTTAGAAAACAACATAAGATAAAATTCTTCAAAATTGTACTACAAAAGGAGAGCCTAATGTAGTCCCAGTAAAGGATATCACTCTTCTATGGTGACAAAAAGCTTATTAGTAGGAACTGCGAACACCAGATCCTCTGTGCCCCCGAGATATTTAGCTGATATGGTTGATACTACCCTGCTTTCCAAGCTCTCTTTTTCTAACATAGAGTGACCTCTTTAAGATAGACTATTCAACTCAGGGGACCTTGCTAGAAAACTTGAGAGTCATCCTAAATACTGTCAGCCCTACTTTGTTAAATTCTCTTTGCTTCATAATATTGGGTCGTCGGGAAAGTCATGACGTATTTTTCTGTTTTTCAATGCAAAAATGCATCATGACTTTCCCGACGACCCAATAGTTCTCTCCCTCTTACAATGGTCATAGTGCAGACCACCATCATCTCCTATCTGAGGGACTGTGAGAGCCCCCACTCATCTCCCTGCCTCCCATCTGGCCCCTTCCAATCCATTCTCCACAATTCAGCAGGACGGGTCATCACTTCAAAAAACAAAACTAACAACAAACTCAGAAAGTTATCTGTACCCCCATGTTCATTGCAGCATTATTTACAATAGCCAAGATATGGAAACAACCTAAGTGTCCACTGACAGAGGAATGGATAAAGGAAATGATCCAATGGAACATTATTCAGCCATAAAAAAGAATGAAATTTTATCAGTTGCAACAACACGGATGAAACTTGAGGGCATTAGCTAAGTGAAATAAGTCAGGCAGAGAATGACAAGCACTGCATGATCTCATTTAAATGTGGAATCTAAAAAAAAAAAGAAAAGCTCATAGAAATAGAGAACAGATTGGTGTTTGGCAGAGGTGGGGGGTGAGGGTGTATGGGTAAAGGGAGTCAAAAAGTACAAACTTCCAGTTATGAAATAAATAAGTCACGGGGATGTGATGTACAGCATGGTGACTATCATTAATAATACTGTATTGCATATTTTAAAGTTGCTACGAGAGTAGATCTTAAAATTTCTCATTATAAGAAAAATAAGTTCTGTATGTGTGGTAACAATGTTAACTGACTCACTGAGATGATCATTTCACAATATTTATAAATATTGAATCATTATCTCGTACATCTGAATCTCACATAATGTATGTCAATTGTATCTCAAATAAATAAATACCTAATGTGTCATTTTTCTATTTAAAACCCCTTAGTTGCTCCTCTTTTCCATCAAGATAAAGTGTAAACTCATTCACGTAAAATCTGCACAACTGGACCCTTCCTCTCTCATCAGCCTCTTCTCCTATAATCCCCTCCCTCAAACCCAACAAACACCCCCTCACATTTTGAAATCTTTTGCCACATTTTCTTTTGCTTTCCAGTTTTTTTGTCAACATTTCCTAGTCTGTCGAGAAATGTGTTTTTCAAACTTCTCTTGACTGTGACCCCCAGCGTAAAAAAACACCTTACATCTTAACCCAGTACACCTGTATAACAACATATATAAACAGTTAATGAAAAAGGCTTCACAAAAGAACGTACTATACCTTTAAGGTCATAAAAGTATCTCCATACATGGCTGTCTGGAGACTGTGTGTAACTAGCATTCGTAACCAGTTCTGCCAAATTGGGAGGAAGGTTGACCCCCTGATCCTCTTTTTGATTCTGGAATGTTCTAATGAAATTCACTCCACCTTCAGGCTGAAACACATAAGAAGCCACATAAGATATTTGTGAAACATTCTACAGATTTTAGCAATAGATGGGTGGGTAGCTGAGGATAGGGGAGTGTCAGCACCTGTGTGGTTTTCAGTGGCCCAGTCAAAAGAGCTGACTTCGATTAGCCTAAGACTTGTGATATTTATGAAAATTCTCCAATTTTCAATGGATTTTGGGTTTAAATATGTTGGTGTTTTATGGTCAATAAAAACTCTTATTAAAACATACATTGGTTTCCATGTTTACAGATGCTTTCCTTAATGACCCATTTCTTCTACTTCCCCCTATAACATTAGGCCAGGATCTGCTGCAAAATAGATCTCAGAGCCTTACTAGATAGATTTCTAAATTTACCATGGAACCCCTTCCAATAGCCAATCATAGGCCATCACCAATTCTTCTTATCCCCACTTGCTTTGTCAGTATCCACATCTGACCCTCTGCACCCAGCATTATCAGAAATTCCTTCAATGATAATATAAATATTTAAAGAGACCAAAAGTAGCTGTTTTTCCGGAAACCTGTAGGATCCTCTGCATCAGATTAAGAAAGCTCAATCACATTATCTGTAGCAAACTTCTCGCTGTACTAGCTTATGGCTTTGCAAACAAATTATAGCAATTTGTATTAACTATATCATAACCTTTCTACCAAATTCATTATAGTTTCCTATAGAAGTCCTTCATAAAGGAAAATACAGAGCACACGATTTCAACAAGTTTAATATCCTTAGTAGGAACACAAAGTTTGTTTTTGAGTCCATTCTCCAACTGTTACCCTATTGGCTGATGTCCCAGAAACATGAGTACGCAAGCTCTCTTTGTGCCTATGGAACGCACAGCCTCACGGTGGCATCCAGTTTTCAATACAGACCTTAAGTGACCTGGAAGCAATGTCCTCAGGTGTAGAAAAAAATACATCATCGATATCCAGCGTCTGAAGTTCATCATGTGTGGAAAAGAAGAGCAAGAAAAAGCAATCTTCGTTCCCCACATTCTTGATCCAGTGCAGCGTGTTCTTAGGGAAGAAGATCACCTGGCCAGCTGTAACATTGTATGTGGTGACTACGTGACCATCATCAACCACCCCAATCCATGCTGTGCCCTGAAACATAAACAGAAGAGCACATCCAACATCACTTTAGAGCAATGTTTCTCAACCTTTTTTCATTGGCTCCCTCCTAAGGTACCATTTTAGTCCTTTTTTTCTATGAAATTTTAACACTACAGATGTACTGTGAATCTGTATACTCTACACACATAATACTTATGTGCTATACATATATCTGTGCTTTATACATAAAAACAGTAAGTTATTTTGTTGCCTGACAGCCGAATTCTATAAACACGT